CTCTTAATTATGGTTATTATATATTATAGCTTATTCATTATTCAGTAGGCAGATGTTGTTGGATACAATAGCTACTGAAGAACATGAAATACCACATTTTCGATCTAATATAGCGAATATTAAAAAAAATATGGGAACATTTAACACTCTGTAAACGTGAACATTGATCAGCTGACTGCGTCCATGGGACACACATTCGCCTTTTCTAATGTAAGACTATTCGAAAAGAATTCAGTTGCATATATTCTCTATGTTTCATTATTAATTTTATTACTATGTAGAGACATTAGGTATTTTTTTAAAGCAGGCAAGATGAAAAATTAGCAAATTCGCTGGGAATCGAACCGCGGACCTCTGGAATACCGGGCCCAGTGTACAAAACCACTACACCACGAAGAAAAAGGGTGATAAACCTTATAACTAAGTGAATATCGTGAAGAAAGAAAAAAAATGTTTTTTAAAGAGTGTTATAATTTTGCTCAGCATTTACTAGATATATGCTTATGTAATGAAATTAAAGAAATTTAAAATGAAATGAAAGTTTTGCACTCAAAAAAACCTCAGATTACAGTGCAACTACTTAAAACATTTACTATTATAAAGTTTAAATAACTAAAAACATGAAAAGTAAAAAATATTAAAAAAAATACCCACACATACGAGTCGAAAAAGTATTTGGACACAATAAGTATTCAGGCAGCTTTTGAAAGAATAATTAAATATTTAACTTAAAAGAAATACTTTCTTACATGCCATGTCTTTCTTCTAAACAAAATCGAAATGTTTTAAAAATTAATTTAGAATATTGTTAAATAAACAATAAATTATGCACTTCTTGTGTACTAACGAGAAAGAAGAGAGAAAAAACATGGATCACACAAGTATATTTTAAAAAACTCTTAAAATTACTTTAATAATGTGCTTATGATTTCACCGATGTGCTTATGACCTTAATAATGTGCTTATGACTTTCATGCCTAGAAAGCATGGATTTTACAAGATTTTAATCTACTTTTTCTTTACCTTGAGGTGGATTTTTTTCTGAGTTAATTTCCGCCAGAAATTCAGAATTTATGAATTTTTTCTTGCAAATAATTCTCAACAGGATTGAGATCTTTTGAGTGAGGTGGACTCTACACAAGCTTTTCGATTACATGTGAACAGTTGTAGAAAGCCTACAGTTTGCAAATATGAACATTATGCCTGGAATCATAGTTCTGATAAAGTTTTTAATGCGACAATATGTCCATTTTTGTGAGCTGTTTACCGAATTTTGTTTTATATATACAAATACAAAGAAATGTCAGTTTAACTGTGAATAAAAGTGTAGGTATTAAACGCCATATGCACGCTTACAGCCACAGAATGTTTGGCTACCTACATCATGTTTGACTGAAAAAGTAAGATTCTTTACCTAATGGTTCAGTATTAGGTTTATCTTGAGGATTTTAATATTAGTCTTACTGCCTTGTAATCATGCCCTCGCTTTATTGGGGAATGGCTATGTTTTAACTATTTTACCATGAGAGATATTTCCTAAAAAATATTTCGGATTTTTTTTTTTTTTTTTTTTTTTTTCAGTACTAGAGTTGCTGAATATTCATTGGGCTTCTAAAGTCAATTTGACTGTATTAGCTTTAGAAATACAAATAATATTTCGGTTTACTTTACTTTGCATTCAGTGAAACTGTCTGGGCGTCTTATTTGCGGTTTGTTGTCAATCCAATTTGTTTTACGGCTTCTCAAATTTATATTACGAACAATAGTGTTTTTTTTTTTTTTTTTTTTACACATTTAATATTTTTCTGTCAGATTCAGCCATTTCTCCTTCAGATTTTTCCCTATTCTAATTCAAAATTATCACTTTACACGTATAAAAAATCAGTCTTAGAATTTTATTGACCCACATTAACAAAGCAGTTCTTCAAACTACTTTGTTAATGTTCAAAATACTTTAAAATACTTTTCCAATTATTTCATAAGAAACATCTGCTAAAACGGAGGAGGCTTTATATGATTTGTACCGCAATGCACCAATACGTTTTTGAAATGAATTTCGTATTTAAAAACAAGATATTTAAAATATCTCATTTATTTGTTATTTGATACAATTCATCCTCATATATTTAGTATGCTACTTAGACACAGAAAGCAATAAAAATACGAAATGATAGCTGAATTGTTATCATTAAATGTTTGGAAATTTCTTAGGTACTTACGCATTATCCCGTCAACGTTAAACTGTCGCCAAAATAGGACGATTTAGAGTAAGAACAATACACTCATACCATCTCACTCTTATTAGATGTAACCTCGAATGATTACCATTTAAGCCACTTTTATTATGAATAAGGATATAAATTAACTGTTATTGTTATATATATATATAGTATATATATTTCATTTTGGAAAGAAAAATAATTATATGACCTGCCTTCTATAGAACAGTAAGCAATGGATTATTTTCAAAGTTATGGACTCTTGCCATCAAACAAGTGCGTATTAATGCTCACCGTATGGCCAACTGAATATAATCGACAAAAGAGTAATAGACTGGAACGATTATCTGCGGGAAGTTTGTACTCACAGCCTTCTAAACAGAACTCCCGGTAATACTGAAAGGCTTAACAAAACAGTCAAAATTCACGAAAAATTTCATACGGAGCTCAAAAACGAAGCTGGCTGAGTTCTGATTATTTAATAAAAAAAGAGGTTTCATTTCCTTCAGAAATCTGCAAACAACGATTAGTAAGATCTCCGCTAACTTCCATGGTTCGATAATAGCCAAATGTCAAAGTCGACGGTATAATACATAAGTTCCTATCCTCAAATCGTTTTTTTTTAATCGCGATAATGTAATAATAAAAAAAAAGTTCCAAAATATAGAAAATTATATTAAGTTTGAACAAAATTTAAGGCAGAAAATACGCTTTCAATCTGTATGTTGCTATAAAATATCATTATAATCACATTCAATTTTAAACTGGTTGTAAATGAAAGCGTATACAAGGAGTGCAGTTAGAAAATTTTGCAGTCTTTGAATTGCAATCGATGGTATGAAGGAAAATTTCGTTGAAGTCAAGATAAAAAGGTTATTTGGTACTATTCCGTTTTGAGGAACGTAAAAAATTACAGCGAAAATGTATGTGCAAAAGCGCGAAATCTAGCAAACATGCTGATTTCAAATTGCGTAAGTTTAGATAGTTCTATATTTCTTAAGACGCCATTGAAATACTAGTTTAATTTTTAAATGCTTTTTTGATATCCTATGGATTTAACAATTTGGGAATTGCTCATGACGAAAAGTCTGCAATAGAATTTTTTCAAAGAAAAGGCATCATTCATTATACAAAATTATGTTTAAATAACCAACGAGATGAAATTATGCTTTAGCGATAACTCGGTAGCGAATAGCGATGCAGGAATCCATTCAGTTATGTTTAGCCTTTTTTATATAAATTATAATAATGATCTGAAATAGTTATTTACTCTTACGCTTCCATTTAGTTATGTTTAGCCTTTCTTATGTAATTTATAATAATAAAAAAGCATTATATGAAGTTAACTTTTCATATAAATTAAAACAATAATCTTTAGATATTTATTTACTATTATACTTCCTTTCTTGCGTTAGAGTTGCCGCAATTATTTTTGGTAGCACTGGCATCAACAATAGTTTGGAGATTTTTTACGGTCCTCAAAGTCCTCAAAACGGAATAGACCGATTATTTAAATGGAAAAAAAAGATGGAGGACAAAATTTAATCACAAACTCAAAATGCTTGTTAAAACTGATGCTATGAGACAATAAAAAAATTATTACAGTTAAGTAAGCATAGATTAATACTGGGAAAATACATTAAATACTTTTTCTAACTAAATTATATTAATAAAAAAGAACAAAATAACTCTATAATTCTGAAACTTGAGTATTATCATGCTAAAAGTGCTAATACAACTGGATTCTTTTTTTTTTTTTTTTCTTTTTTAATTTTTCGAAACTAGTGACGGCACTAGAAAAAAGCTAACTGGAGCCTAATTTAAAGACGAGGCAGAAAATAAAATGAAATGAAATGAAAAAGGAAGCAGAAAAGGAAAAATGAAATGGTGTTTAACAAAATTTTTAAAATTTATGTTTCTTTCCAAATCCATCCCCATCAAATGCCGGCCTTGTTCCAAAGCCATTGCTTATTGATGAGATAAGTAGCCATTAGTTACTGATGATCACATCTGGTGCGCATATTTTACTTACTTAATTAAATAATCACTAAATTAATAATTGTCATAAATTAATTAATAATCCTTGTTGGTTCTGAAAACCAGAAGATAATTAATTGGTCACTTGCAGTGATTGAAGAACTGTATCCAGGGAGAGACGGCCATGTGAGAGTCATCAAAGTCAAAACTCCGCTTGGTCATCTCGTTCGTCCAGTCCAAAAAATTTACCCTCTAGAAGTTAATTCTTCTGGGATCCCATTATAGCAGATCAACATACTACTAATGACCCACCAGCAACATCACAGAATGACATTCCAATTCAGAAGGTTGTTTTAGCAGCTCCTCGGACGTCAAGAAGCGGCAGAGTAATCAAGATACCTAAGAGACTGGGCTATTGAACTTTCGAACTTTGTTGATTTACCTCGAAGGTGGCAAATCAAGGTGGGAGGATGTTACGTAATGCCGTCAATAAACTTCGGAAGATATCCACGAGACAGTTTTATGAATAACTATATTGAATGAACACGAGACTATTAATGTTTTAATGACGCAAGTTTTATGTATCCTTTTTTTTTTTTTTTTTTTTTTTTTTTTTTTTTTTTTTTTGTGGATGGCATCAGTTTACGGCGTTGCCATGCACGTTCTGATCCTTGTTTGCTTAGTGATAGAAGTGTTCTATGAATTTAATGTGGATATGAATTGAACTGAATGATATTGTATTTGTCTTCTGTTTATTGAATAATATCCTAGTTCCTGCTTTACTTCAAAGAAACTGTGAAAATGCTGGTGTCGAGTATTAATAAAAGTGTTTATTCGTCAAGAAGCATGTGCAGAATTCAAGTAGATAAGATTAATTTCTTTTTCTATAAATATTGAAATTGTAAACAGATATTCTAATAGTAGACTCACTGTGTCTAATTATTATTAAGGTTTATATACGTATACTAAGAACCTGTGCAGAACAACCGTTGACGGGTAGTCTCGGCGTAGCTCTGATATTTTTGGTATTTTTCCTTACAACTATAATAACAGGAATGGAGCATTTCAGTATATAAATGTTTACAAGCACATTAGAAAGAGAATACCTACCGGTTTCTTATATGTTTATCAGCATATAAGAACGAAGAATAGTGTGATAGAGTCACAGTTGAATCTTAAGCTTGAAAAAATCATGTCAGAAATTTAGTATTTTACCTCTTTTGCAGGAGATTTTGCGTATTTAAATATGGCTTACTGAAGCTTTTAATCTATTCAAGAAATCGATTATGATTTACGCGCAAAGAATGTCAGCAGTAAAATAAATTCCGCATCAAATAAAAATACGTGTTCAGAAGCAAAGAAAAAAGCTATTTACGACGAGAATTAACCTGAATACGACCATAAAAATTTAAAACATTTTTACAAAACATGATAAATGTTGCAAACTTCTCTTCTTGTCTTTCTTTCAAGCAGGTTGACGAATGCTACCTAAAATTTCATGCTGGCAACAGCACAAAGAGTATTTTGTCTTAGGTGAAATGCCGAGAGCTGGATTAAAGAGCAAAGTGGCCTGCATCTGACGCCCTATTTCAGCCTCATCATCACACCTTAGTTGATAATTGCGAGAATGTGGTCTGCCAAGAAGCAATTTTTTTGCAGTTGACGTTTTTAGAGCAGCATTGGTAAATCCTTGATACAGATGGATTTGCCCAACTTCAATAGTTTAAAAATTTCAGGGCTACATATTTTTATTAGGTTAGAACTGACAGATATTAAGATAAATTGCTTTCTGAAACTTAAATATTATTTTAAATACAATTTTAATTTATACGTGCAGTGACTCAGCATTTTGAATTTCAAGAATTTCGAATTCGAATCCAAATTCGAGCCAGACTTGTAGATTACAGATTAAATTTATTTAAATTTTACTGATCATTTAAAATTAGAATTATTTTCACAGTGATCACTACAATTTCAACTTCGTCATTTTAAATTTTAAATGATTATTAGAATCTAATATTAAAATAGGATAAATAATTTGCGTCATTTAACTGTTTTGTTTCTGTTTTAACTGATTAAATTTTTGAAAACTTTTAGCAATTTTAGTCGGATTTTCATCAAATGTTGACTATCAGTCATTTTGCTTTACCTTTTTCGTCGGAATTGCCCACATGCTTCCTAATTATCCATGTTTAAGGGTGGATTGCATTAACAAACAATTAGCTGCTTTTGACTAATAAACATTTAATAAACAATTTTTAGACTTTTAAGAGTTAATTTGTTTTGATATACACATAACTGTTATGTATTACTTTTTAAATTGTTGCCATAAAATATTCTAATAAATATATATATGTAAAGCAAATAAAATTTCTGACATTTCAAATTAAGACAATAAATTATTAAAATCGAATTAATCCACGAGATTAATTCAACCGCGAAATTAATTAAATAATCAGAAGATAATAATTGAATTAATCTGAAACTTCTCCCCCTTAATTAGTATTACATCTTTTTATTTATTTTAATTTTAGTAAATTTCTTATAAATAAATTCGTTTCTTCAAAAAATTTTGACTTTAAATATTTTTACTTTTATTTACAATAGTTGCTCTTGATTTACAAAATATTTTAACAATTCTTCTTTTTCTGTGGTTCAAAATTCATGGAGCGTTAGCCCAGGATTATTAGTCTCGGAAAAAGCATTTTGCGTCGGTTTATTATAAATGGCGAATCACTTTTTAAATCGTCGCCACCAAATATTATCTCCCTATAATTTAATTTAAAGATATTAAATAATGAAGAATCTGCATGATTGTATGTATGTTTCTCCCGTTGTGAAGAAAACGACGGTACCTAGATCCATCAAATTTTTAATAACCTAATCCTCAAACCGAGCATGGGCACCTGGGAGCCTGAATATTGAATTTCGAATTTGCCTTATTTCATATTTTGCAAAACTTTAACGAACTTTTGATTAACACACTCAACGTTTTCAAAGCGAGCAATGGCAAATTGTACGGATTTTTTTTTTTTTTTTTTTTTTTAATCTCCAGAGCGCGAGACTATCTATGGGAAATTCTAAAGGTATGCTTTTTATGTACAAGCTCAGTAGGTACTCTCTTAAAATTGTGTATATGTTGACTAATAGCTATTCGCTATTTATTTTATTCTGTACATTTGCCTTTCCAGGCCAGTTTGTATAGTTTTCTTCTTGCACCATTAATGTGTTTCTCATTTACATTTAACGAGCGGGAACGTCGGGAAATGAAAAAGAAAAATTGAGACCTAAGTTGTATTAGGTACTTTTGTCTGTTTAATACTCAAAAATGTTTTTCGTTTTCAGTCTCAATTCTTCTTTCTTGACGAAACGCGTTATGGAGTTAGCTGGATTCGAAACTCATTATGCATTTCTCTTGATAAGTCCGTAATGAGATTCGAATTAGGCTAATTTACCATTTACCGCTTCTTAGTAATTTTACTTGTGTTTTAAATAATTTTTGTTGTAATTTTTAAATGTTTTAGGATTGTTTAAACTTTCATCACCATGTTTTAACTTTTAAATTTGAATTGAGTTTTACATTCACTTTTCATTTGTCAATTTTTCTTGTTTAGTAGTTCATACTTCTTGTTTTTTAACTTTTTGTATTACTGTTTATTTTTACATAGTGTTAACATATTTTAAACGGGAAACACAGTATCACATTTGCTTTTAAGCAATAGCTTGAAGAATTTACTTTTCACTTTGTTTTCAAATTTTGCAGCTAAATGCGCAAAATTATTGACCACACAGGTCTTTTTTAGTTTGTTCTCCTTTCTTTTCTTCCTTTATATATATATATATATATAATAATTTATTTCCTAAACAGTATTGATTAATTGATTATATTATCTCCTAAGTTTAATTAAAGTAGAATTATTTTAAAAGTGTGCATCCATACTGGTAAGTTATATTTTGAAAGATGTTTTGAAGTAATTTGAAAGCAAAATGTTAATAATGTTTTAACGGGGACTGGAGTTAAATCATCACGAAGAATAATATATCAATTGTAAAAGGAAAAATTAAAACATGTAATTATTGTCATTGATCGGAAATTAGTTGACTTTTCAAGGGGAACAAACCGACTCCCGTTCAATGAACAATAATTGATAAAAATACGTAAATATGAAAGTGTTTCGTCTTTACTCGAGTTATAAGTTAAAGCCAAACCGGCAATTCTAGTCAGGCCAAAAATTTCCGCGAATAGTTGCTACTCAAAGAACTTATTCTCATGAAGTATTTTAGTCAATTCAATTTGGAGTAAAAATCAATTACTGTAGAGAAATCCTGTAAAACTCGAGTAACCGTCCCCGACACTATCATCTTTATGTATTTGAGTACTATATTATTTGTAGAAATTAAACATTGGAAATTGTCATTATGAAATCGAATTCAAAGTAAAGTTGAAATAAACATAGAAGATTATAAAAAGATAAATAATGCAAACTTTGTAAAAACAAATCAAAGAAAACATAAAAATAATATATAAAAATATATAGAAAATATATAAATAAGATCAGTGAATGTACATGAAGATATAAAGGCCAGAAAGGTATTAAGTAACTTACATTCTTTCTAGTGGGGGAGTTGGCAAAGTGTTCTCTTCGTGTCTGACTCAGAAGTGTAGGGTGTCCGAAAATTCTTAGCGGCAGTAGGGGCTTTGAATAATATCAGTCGGTAAGACTTGGGTGAAGTAATTTATGGTAGTGGGTGGGACTTGGAATTCTTGAGGGATGTATTTTGTGGAGTTCTTATCTGAGAGAGACCTTCTGTTAAGATTTTTTTGAAAATACTAGTGAATGGAAATTAATTAATTTCTGGCTAATTGTCGTGTCGCAATGTGGGTGGGACTTGGAATTCTTGAGGGATGTATTTTGTGGAGTTCTTATCTGAGAGTATATATATATTATGTAAATTTAAAGCATCTAAAGTTAATATTAAATATATATATATATCTTTATATATTCTTATATATATAAATTATATATATATATATATAATAGTATATGTATATAAGAAAGAGAATATAGACATACAATTAATATCAAACAGAAGTCATAAACTATATCTAATAGGAAGGTAAAAATTAAAAACAAACGAAAAAAAAAACTTACCAAAATAAAAGTGAAATAATACAAAAATTGAAAATAAAACCATTATCATTAAAAGCAAATAATAAATAACAGTGAAAGAGTTCTTTCGTTTTTGTCAGTTGGCAGTTAAAACAATTATCAATAGAGCTACGTTTCTGAATCTGTCTAGTTAAAAGCCTTCTCGAGAGACTGAAGGTAACGAAACGAGAAGTACTATAAACTTAAATTCCACCCGCCGAAGGGGGGGATAGCTTTGGTCAAAAATAAGAGCTAATAAGATATTTAGGATACCCATCATGTGTTTTCCCTAAATAATAATTACTTGATTTAGGAAAATCACAATCCGTTCTTTCCACTGTTACGTTATCTTTTGCAACAAAATCAAAACATTTATGACAACTCCATAACAACATTTAGATATAGTCTATATTTTATTTTTTACTTTTTGTTTCAGAGGTAAAAGGGAAATTTTATTAGGTGGTAATGGTATCAATTTTTTTTTTTTCATTTTTTTAAAATACTTTGAAAGAAACGTCTTTGATATACTCATTGTTTTATGTTAGCGGATCCGATATCCTGGCAAAACAAAAAGTATTGACACTTGTGGGAAATATTTGGTGCAAACCTCATGCTCAGGTTAACCAATAAAGTAAAGCCAGCCTCTGTTTGAATAATTAAGTCTTTTTTTCATTAAGTAGGTTCTCAAGTCTTCACATTGATGATGAATAG